CCCCCCCCCCCCCTTGGGTGCTACCAACGATGGCGCCGCTTATCGCCACCATGTGTACCAAACTACGGCGCTCCTCACAGCCTCGTGGCTCTACTCACACTGCTAACAACTGTCGCTGCTGCTGCTGCTGCCACTGCTACTGTGGCTCTACTCACGCTGTACTACCGCTGATGCTGCTGCTACTACTGCTACTGGACCTTTGTTCATCACCGTATCGCACCTTGAGGTTAACCATCCCCTCCTGCTTGTGCTCCGAGCAAAACCTCGCCTTCGCACCGAGGTGGCCGCAGCATGGCTGCTTGTAGCACGACGGCAGCTCGCACTTGGGGCTCTTGACGTCCACCATGCCCTCCAGCCGGTGCAAGCGGCAGCGCCGACGCACGCGATCGGTCTTGAACCCGTAGCTGTCCGGTTGTTTTTAGCCGAGAGTGGGGGGTGGGGGTGTGAGAAGTACGACACGCCAGAAGCGCCAGCAACAGCACCATACATCGCCGAGAAAACAAGACATCCCACGACAACGCATATCGTCCCGCACACCTGGGGTGTTTCTGGCAGCCTTCCACCTGGCAGCGCGAGGTCTTAACGTCGTGGCTGTTTGCCGGGCGGTGGTCGGGGCACCACGTCGCCCTGCCCGTCTTCTCGCCGCTGTTGCCGTAGATGGGCTGGCGGTCGCACCCGGACGTGGCGCAGTGTCGGTCGAGCACGTCCTCCATCCCTTCCAGGGCGTGTTTCGAGCAGAACCTGCGATTGAATGTTTCGAACGGCGCCCGCATCGAGAACAAAAAATAGAAAAAAAGGACAGCGCTTGAGTGCTCTCTCGCGCTGTTGTAAAGGGGTCTGATTATCGTTCCGGCCGCGCCCGGCTCGAGCGATACATTCCGCGTGGGTGGAACATGGGACCGTGTTTCGCCGTGGGAGGACATAGTCTGACACATACCGCGTGGAGAGAAAACGGGATCGTGTTTGGCAATGAGAAGATATACTCCGCTCGCATGGAGCAGGCGCACGTTTTTTTTTTACCCGACGAAAGAACCTGGGCTGTGACCATGGAGACTACCCGAGGGAAAAAAACGCCTGATTATCCGTTCGTCCTTCTAGAACACAACTGACGCACAACTTCAACCGTTTCGCTCTCGCAGGTACCCTGCACCATCCACATACTGCCCCTGTCCTCTTTCTACACCACCCCCACTCACTGCCAACCTGCCCCAGTTGCCCGTAATCTTTACCCTCCAAACGTGCATTCCTCTTTGAGGCAGCAGGAGCAAAGCCGGGCGTCCAACACACAGAACCTGGACAGAGGCCCCACCCATCCTTGCTAGTGTCCGCCGCCGACCCACCTATCGAACTCAAAGCATCAGTCAGCCCAACGCGCGTCGCCCTCTGACTCGCCTCTCTCGGCTAGTTCTCCATCCCAACCAGCGGCAGAAACAAGGCTGAGTTCGACTGTTTTTTCCTTACTGAGGCCCATCTTCCTCCTCGACTTTAATCTCCTCTCTCTCCCTGTCTATTTGTCTGTCTGCTCATCTATCCGTCTATCTGTCTGTCTGTCTGCCTGCTTGCCTCCCTGTTTGCCCATGGTCTCGTCTTTTCTTGCGTCTCTCGCTGCATCTCTCTCTCTCTTCCTCTCGCTCTCTCTCTCTCCTCTCACCTTGGCTTTTTCTCGCCGGGAAAGTTGAAGCTGGGCTGTGCTAGGCAACCGTCGAAGTCGCACTTCTTGATGGTGAGGTTCATCATGTCCATCGTCTTGTGCTTGGCGCAGTAGCGAGGCCGCGTACCCTCGATGCCGTAGCTTGCGTGCGTCTATTGTTGTTCATTGTTGCGAACTCTGGAGTTAGATACTGTAACGAGACAATGAACTGCAGCTCCTTTCGGGACAGCAGGAGATACGAAGTAACGACGCGTGATCATTCTAGCCCTGCTGTTTATACCCAGCTTTCCGGCACACACGGTCGTACACAAGCCAGGCAAAAACAACATGAGCAATCGTCGCGCCTCCGAACGGAGCTTTCGGTTTTTCTCCCATCCCGCCATCTTTTTCCAGCCCCGACCGCTGTTGCGATTTTTTAGTCCTTTGTTTTGTTCCCCCCTCTCGCTTACCTTGCAGCCAGGCAGTGCACAGCGCTTCCCGTTAAGATTGACCATGCCGTTGGTCTTGTGGTCTCCGCACACCTCGGGCGAGCCTCCTTCCTTGCCGCAGCTGGCGAACTTTAGGCACCCGGGATGCTGCAGTTACGAAAAAGAGAACATCGTCAATGTTGTTAAGCATATGTACATGAGTGTGCGCTACTATTTCGTTGTGGTCAAGTTTGATCCGTACATCGTGGCACGACGTCCGACGTCAGCATTAGTCTACCGATAATACTCCTTGTTTCGTGCGGGCAAGAAAGCGACAATGTCAGGTAACCTACCATGTTATCGTCGCAGTGGGTATATCCCTACACCTGGGCTCGCGACTCCGTTGTACAGTTGTTCGTCCGCAGAGCGTACAACGCGAAACAGCTATTTAGCTAGGTTTCACCGTCGCCGCCGCTGGCGGGACTTTTCCTTGCGAGGGAAGTCTTGCTTCCTGTGTAGAAGTGCTGGGAAGCCGCATGCCTTTCGGCTTAAAGCTGCCGACACTCCCCCGACATAGCGTATTCCTGTCAAAAACGCCCACACGCAAGAGGTGTACTGTAGCTCTCCACCCAACTTTCCTGAGAGAGGTACGGAGCCCCTCCCCGACCGACTCCTTAAAAAACACAGCCTGCTGGAGGTTCCTTTTGCACGAAAGCTGCCATGTTTTAGAAATTACGTGCGCTGTTTCCCGCGACAATGGTCACCTTACCTTACAGCGGCCCCTGGCGAGGTTCTGCATCCCCTCCTCTTTGTGCGTCGCGCAGAAGCGAGGGATGCCTCCCTCGAACCCGTAGTTGGGCTTGACGTCGCACTTGTCCGCTTCGCAGCTGTCGTCATCGTAGGTTAAATGAATTTAGCGCGTGGTCGTGTTGTTGGTGAAGACGGAGCATGCACGCGTGCACAGAAGGGAGGGAGGGAGGGAGGCACGGACGACGGGTTGGAGACGGTGGGAGGAGAGGAGAAACCTCTCAAAAACCTATGCGCTGAATAAATGCGCGAGCACGAAGGGGACGAAGCGGCGACTGAGTGCGCTGTCTGTAAGACTGAGTTCAGTGAACCGTTCCAAAGATCAAAGTCTCAATGCATATGTAGTGTCTGCGTTCTGGCTCCGTGCTGTAAATCTCGCGCTCGACTACTCCCGCGAGGGCTACTGGGTCGGCGGTTCAGTTGTGAGTGTGGGGTGATCTTCGGTGTCTCATCAAGAATACAAGAGGCCCCACCTACCCCCGCCAACCATTTCGTGTTAGCTCCGAGGTGCCTGGGCTCTTCACGGGCTGCTAAATAACCAACAACGCCCAAAAGGCAGATCCTGTAGAGACAACCTAGTGTACAGCAGTCTGCTGTAGTACTGCCGCTAGCTTTTTAGCGTGCAACAGGCCATCGCGACGAGGGCAAGGGGTCAAGTCAGGCCCGTCAACATCCGTCTCTACTGCTCTACTGCGATGAAAAGCGAGAGATCACACTACACCACGTGCGTGTGTAAAGCTGCTGGCACAGGCTATGCGCCGTGTGGACACCAATTACAAGCAGAGTACCGATATAGATGCTCGTTTCAACAGAGGGGGTCTACAGCACGCAATCGTGCTTTCGCCGTCGCTTCCTCCTTTCGCACCGATGCCCAGAGACATGATCCATTTGATCAGGTGGAACTATCCCACCCAGCCGCTAGGAGGCAGCCCCCCCTCAAAAGATAGAAGAGTGCGGCGGCGATGGCGTCGCAATTTCGAAAAGAGACGGTGGTGTTCACACGCACGGCCCTTTCTTGCTCTCGCGGGAGGTACAGCAGTCTAAATACCTATATGCATAACAAGTAGACCAGACCGTAACACGGCTGTGATCCTCTTCTCTCCTAAATTTATCCCCTCGTCTCCTCTCATCTCTCTCTCGCTCGCTCTCTCGTTCGCTTCTTCTTCCCTTCCTCTGCTCTGCTCTCCTACAACGCAGCAGTAGTACCTCTTCTTCCGGACATCCACATGGATGTCCGACTTGTGCATGTAGCAGAACTTGGGCGCATCTCTCATGTCCAGCGCGAAGTAGGGCTGCTTCTGGCAGGCGGCCCATTCGCACTGCCGATTCGCCATTTTCCCCCCCCGATCTCCTCTCCCAAGATCCCGCGGCAAGGCGTATAATCCTGACCCCCCCCCCCGGGGACTCGAGCGTGCTCCAGGGCGGGCGTCAGTACAGCGACCGGGTGGGCTTCCGTTCCTCCGCAAGTCCTGGGTCCTGGGTGAACGGACTGTGAGCGTTTTGCTAGGCCGGGCGAGGGGGAGGAACGCCTATTCCCATAAGAGGGGGGGGGATGCCGCGGGAAGAATGAAATCAGCCCGCACCTCGTTTGCCCTCGCGCGATACACAACTTCAGACACGCTCTGCTGAGCAACAAAGCATAGCGACACCATGGACGGGTTTCAAGAGGTAGACGCGGAGTATGAGGATCGGTGAGCCTGGTCTTGGGTTGCGTGTGTGTTTGCAGCGCGGAGGTGGGAAGCGATTTTTATGTTGTCGACTGCTCCTGCCTGCATGTTGTCTCTGACACAGCGGGAGTTGACACGGCAGACACTAGAGCGATACAGAGCGATTTAGCAGTACACGGCAGTGGTGTGCGTCAGTGCTCTGGGCTTCGCGTTCTTACGATCACACCTTGCTTGCTTGATCCCTCCATCTCGTCGTTACAGCAGATGGGCTTGTCTCTCTGGGGTGTTCGACTCACACCACTTTTGCCTACAAGAGGTTGGCCGTTTGTCGCAGCTGACTCGATTCGCACTCTTCTCTGTTCCATGCCCTGGATACGTTGGGCTGGCTCTCTCGATAACGAAGCCGCAACATAGCAGGCGAAGCACCAAATCCGTGTCAGAAGCTAAGTAGGATTTTGTTCCATAGGTTTCATCGTAGGTTGTGGATTGTTTTGACATTGCACAGCAGCAGTTTTCGCTTGGAGAGGAGAGGTGCAACGGGTCGAGAGCCAGGAGGCACTCATGAACTCAACTCCCTTAACTGCTGGACCTCGAGGCCGGCCATGGCACCAAAAAGTCCTAAGAATAGCACCCGCTGCCTGGTGTCCCTTTTTGATCGGTCGCGTGGTCGTTCTGTTGCAAGGAACAGCACCCGTCAACAAAGGCGCCATACATGCTGCCGTATTTAGCTCCCTCCTGCGTCGTCAGTCTCGAAAAGCGGCGAACGAGGTGTCCCACCAATGCTGGTGTCATCTTGTTAACGTGTTACAGACACCAAGAGTCACGGACCCGCCATACGAAACCGCTTACACAAGCAGCCCTACAGCAGTAATGCGATCACACCAACCGAGGGCATTGACTTATACTCGACAGTACCCCTCTGGACTTTTCCGACACGACGGAAAGACGCCCGAGCATAGGTGGCCGATTGTATGCATTTATCGTCCGGGGGCAATGGGCATCCTACGGACGACCCATGTGGTGGTGGTGGTTCAGGGGTGATTTCGACAGGAACCCGAACCCGTAGTTCCAGTACTTACCTACAGAACTTTTCAGTTGTCACCACCACCATCTTAGAACAGCAGCTAAAACCGCAGCACGAAAACGTACCGCCGCATGTATTCCCGGCACGCTCAACATCCGCGACCCCACAAAAAAAAACACGCCCGCAGGATGCGCACGTTCGAGAGCGACTGCAACGGCGGCAAGGGGAACGCGGTCGCGTGCCACCAGGTGGGCGAGTACCTTTCGGTGGTGAAGAACGACTTCGACAAGGCCGGAAGGATCTTCGAGGCGAACTGCAACACCCGCAACCACGCGCCGTCGTGCTTCAACCTCGGGCGATTCTTACGTGAGGGCGGGGGGAGAAGACGAGTGTTGGATTTTTTTTTTTTGATCCGAAAGAGGCGGTTAGTATTTCTAGGTTTGCGCAGGGAACACCCTGTAGCCCTTCTGTTATCGCTCACAATTTTGATGGTGCATGCGAGCACTCGCGCCCGCGACAGCCAACGTTTGGCCCGAGGCGAGAGTCATGTGCGTAGGATCGATCTTGGATCCACGACATTCCTCTTGCTGTCGTACCGCCAAGGTTAACGGAAGCTACCAGAATCTACGCGATACCAAGGCTGGAGCGGGCGGTCGGCACCAGCACCGTCTCACACCAGATCGTGGTGTCCGCGGTCGGTATTGACCTGCGTTGGTTAACAACAGCAGTGTCGAGATACATCTGCTGATAGTACTATTAAGCGAGGCGCGTTGGTGCGTCGGCCCGTTCCATTGGTGGTAGTATGAGTGTCCATGTCCATGTACCTGAAGGTCGGCAACTTTGGACGCAGCAGCGAGGTAGGGTATCCCCTTTCTTGTCGTCAGTGAAAGCACCCTGCCCCTTCTGAAACGAGCGAACTCAAAACACTTTGTTAACTTCTGCCTCAAGATGCCCTCCCTCTCCCCTGTGTTTGTGTGTGCCTGGCCCGCGTGCTTATCGCCCGCCCGGTTACCCTCCCTGCACGCTTGGTGTTTCGATCGTTCGCACGCTTGCTCTCCTCCTTGTTTGCTTGTTGGGGTGCGAACCATGAACAACGACGACGACGACAACCTACCAGTCGCCGGCAAAGGGTTGCCGCAGTCGGACGCGCAAGCCGAGAAAGTTTTTGGTGAGAGAGCTGTCTTGTGCCGGGACAACGTTGAAACGCATGCATGCGGGCACGCAGAGAGCTGTTGTCTGCAGCGAACGCCACCCACCTCATATGCGTGTCTTGTGTCTCTTGCATAGTCACCTACACTATCAGGGTGTTCGCACAACGGAATACGTCAGTCTTGGTGTGGACTAAGAATGAGATACTATATCATAGTTTAGATAGTCAGGGGGGTCGCGGAGGGCGCTGGAGAGAACGGGGGTCCATTTTTCCGGCGGCTTCACAGTCCAGGAGGAGTTCTAAACCTACCTTGAATGTACTCCTCCCGCGGTAACTCTGGCGACGCTCTTTCAGCAGCTAAATTTATTTATCCTCTCGTCTAACCCCGCTTTGCCGCACGTGGCTCGTCACGAAGTCCTTCATCGTGTGGGTTTCTTGAAGTAGCATCGACCGCGCTGGCCAGCGGACCAACGAATAGGCATCAGTCGTGAACGTGCTTGTCTTTAGTATAGTCGTTGATCGCCCTAACCGGAAACACCGCCCAAACGAGCTGATCAATGAAAAAGACGTCAGCCTGGCGGGGCGAAAACGCTGCTCCGAGAATATCCGTGGGTTAATGTTTTTCACGAGTAGACGAAATCTGCACGGATTACGGGTAGAAAATCCGTTGCCGGAATGTGGACGTGCGAGATAATCCCCTGGAAAGTCAGCGTCCGAAAGGAAGCTCAACACAGTGCGCATGATTCGTGTGGGTTTGTGTTGATGGTTTTATTTTGCGTAGTGTCGCCCGCATTCGAAGCGAGTTGTTGCATCCATCACAACCACCCACCCAAACCCGTGCCGGCGCTTGCTGGTCTCGCAAGGCTTCAGCTTAGCCGAAGGTACGCAGTACACATTCGCGACGGCGGCGCCCCAAACGTCTGTTGTTGAGCCGACTTCCTACGTTGCTAACGGCCGGTCATACCAGGGAGGGTATCATGTGACGTAAGTACCTTGCTTGTTTGCTATGCTGTGCTGTGCCCAGATTCGGCGTGCTCGAAGGACCATCAGCCGGCATGCTTGCACCTGGGCTTCATGCACTTGTACGGCGGAGAGGGGTTCAAAAGGGTGCGTGCAGCAGATGGTCTCCGATCCACCAGCAACCAAGACCGGCCCGTTTTTTCTGCAAACCCGGAGAACATTTTTCTGACAGCAACAAGTCGTTCGCATGCACAAACAGAAACTTTTGCACCCGTCTGCATTGGAAAATTGAAATGTGGCATGCATGTGTACGTCTAAGGCTGAGGTCGTGAAACGATGTATTGAAGAGTTTCGATCGTTCTCAGCGGAAAGGGCACTTCAAGGCCTCCCGAACCCTTGGTTTGGAAGTACTTTTTTTTTTATCGTAGTGAACACCGTGTCTGAAGAAGGATGGTTCGAATGCCCTCCAGAGATCGACCAATCAATTTTTTCGTGTGTGTCGGCCCCATCAAGTACGGCTGTAGTCTAGTCGTAGCGCAAGATATAGGGATACAACATCCGCGCACTACATGCATTGGCCAACGACGTCAAGATGTCAGAGCTTCGGTTTCCACGGAGATATGAGCACCGTCAATGGCAAGACTTACTCTCCACGCTTCCCACGGAGATATGAACACCGTCAATGGCAAGACTTACTCCCCACCCCCCGTTTCCAGTATCGAAACCCTCCCCACTGGACCTGACCGCCACAAGGCCTTTCGTTCTTCGACCTCACCCAACTCTTCCCCCTCGCGCCCACATTTCGGCGGTCTGTAGGACATCAAGAAGGCAATAGAGGTTCTCGACACGTCCTGCAGCGGCGGCCTGGCGGACTCCTGCAACATGCTGGCGAAGCAGCTCCTCCGCCACGACGGCAAAGGGCCGGTGCCAAGAGACCCCCCCCGGGCCAGGGAGCTACTGGAGAAGGGCTGCTCGCACAACCACGGACCGTCGTGCTTCAACCTCACGGTCATGCTCAAGAAGGGGGACGAGGGGGTGCCTAGGTGAGCTACTAAGGAAGCGTGTTTCGGCAGCGGCGGCGGTAGCGACTGGCTTGCTTTGGTTTGTGCCACTGACTGTTGCGTTGTTGTCTGTGAGTCTTGGGTTTCCCTGTTGTCGGGAGGATCGATCACCGCACTGCTGTCGTTGCCGTGCTGCTTCATCCGAAGGTCTGTGTGTACGTAGCTACAGCGCATCAGGTGTTCGAATGATGGGTGTCGACACGTTCGGTCTTGAATGAGTGCCGCTTTTGCTGCAGCCGAAGGATTGAATGAGTACCACCTTTGCTACAGCCGAAGGAAAAGATCGGGGAAGCAGCGTACCGTCATGCACAAAACAGTACCTGAGGGGGCACCGCAGTATGCCACATGCACTGCGACATGCTGCTTCCAACCGATTTTCCGTGGTTTGTCCCTGTCGACGTGCCGCCTACTCGTCTACCCGCCTGTCTGTGTGCCTGCAACCCGCATCGTCAGCGACTACAAGAAGTACAGAGAGTACAGGGAGAAGACAGAGAGCCTCGCGGCGCAACTCCAGGGCCTCGACGGCAATAAACAGGCGTAGAGGCACGTACCGAAGCGTTACGATGAATGCCTTGTACAACTCGTGGTATGGTGCTGTGCCACCGCCCGCGTTAAGTTGGCTGGTTACTCTTTTTGTTGTATCAGGCATGGATGGTTCTCCTGGGATTTGGGCGGGCGCGCGGCACTGTAAGTTGCTCGTTTGCGAGCGCTTCGTATCCGCGCACTCGCGCGGTACATTCTGTTGGATTTTGCCAGCACAGGAGTATGCACACTCTCATCGCTACGTGTCCGTTCACGGCTTTGTTTTGTCTAGATGGTAGCGGCGCGGTATGCGTAGAGTGATAACACTACCAAGGAATTCCGAACATAACTGCTATTTAGACTTGAAGGTCTAGCTTTGCACTTCAATAGGAGAGCTGCATGTTGTTACCGATGACAACATGTTGCGTTTCGGCTGGCCCCATGGAAGCTCAACGTTAACCTAAAGACATCCATTCGGGCAACACGCGGGGCCTGCTGTATGTGCTTAATTTTGATGCGCTTTGATTTTGGTACGAGGGTCCCCTGTGCCCACGCTCTCTCCCCGGCTTCAAGGCTTCTTCACTGCCTGCCGAATTGATTGTTGGGGGGGAACACACCCATGCACCCATTTTTGGGAGTGAGACGAACAAATGTAGGAGCAGATCGACTTTCTCAAACGAGTTTCCGCAGGGGAGTCTATGGAAGAGGGGGGGGGGGG